CCAACGACAGGCCCTCCTCCACAGCAATCTGGGAGTTCTGGGCCGTCATTCCCTCCACCGAATTGGGTGGTGCCCAACGCAAATCAAACAGCCGGCTACGGTGCACCGGCATTGCCCCCCAGGCCAAACGCTTATCCTGGCACACCGGGTGGCTCCAATACTGGGCCTCAGGGTACGTGTTATGCATACTATGCTGGCATCTCCCTGTAAAGAAGTACCACTCATTACCCGTTTCTATTTGTACAGGCAATACTCTCTTAGGCGGCATCTATAAGCAAGCGACTGGAGTAGTGGATCGAGTTGCTGGAGAGAATACCAGAATGCAACTTGAATCAGGTGTCCTTCGTGCCGCTCAAAGTACGTATAATAACTGTTTCTCTTCCTCTTGGGATCTAACGAATATCACACCAGCTGGTACAAAACTACTCGGTAAATTCACAAAGTAACTACACGAGTTCTGCTATTATTCTAGATAAAGTTTTACCTGGGTTGCTTCCGCATGCGTGAGAGATATACCGAGGTCTATGGCCCAACCGGACGCTTTCGACCAACTGGCCAGATTGCCTACTTTGTCAGTAGCCAATGTTGAGATAAAAATACACAATGCACATCATATCATTATGGATACACATATTTAAAGTTTCATGGGTTCTGGGCCAGGCTAAGAAAGTATATCGAGGGGATTGTCTCAAAGGCGAACCTATCGCCCAACCGGACGCTTGAATTTAAGCCCTTTTTGCTCCTTCTAAAATGTTCCAGAAATATATAATATACTTCAAATCTCTCTTCAAACTGATATTCAACGTTTGGTTGCCTAAAATGGCAGGGTAGTGGATGTAGAGCGCATTTACTGCTTTCAGTCGGGTTGCACGAGCAGCCCAAACCTTTACGATGATCCTCAGCAAATAGCAACATACTAGTCACTTGAAGTGTTCCATAATGATCTATCAGTATATTTAAGAACATGAGAGTTATTCTATCCCGAAATCTTGTCCAGGAAATCACGGCAGTGGTCATGCATGAGGAATCTGCCTAAGATCGTCGCACGGTCGTTTTCGTCACATTGGGCAGACTGCTGAGCTCCCCAAATGGCAAAATCGATAAGGAAAGAAGCCATAAATAGTATAATACCAGCATTTAAGGACAATGATTATAGTTTTATGGCCAGACATCGACCGTCCGGTTGCCCGATAGGATCGCTTTCTGGCTAGTTTCCTTAAAACATCATGTTAACGTAGGCGGGAACCCATGAAACATCATAAAATTACTCTCATAATGATAGAGTATAAGATATAATTTTTTATTTTAACATTGACTATCAAAGGGATGGGTAATTTGACCAGTTGGTCGAAAGCGTCCGGTTGGGCCATAGACCTCGGTATATAGGGGTAGCAGTAGCGTTACAGAGGTATAAAAAAATGTCCCCACAATGAACATGATTTCGATTGCCGGGTGTGATTTTAGTGCATATGAATTTGATGCGAGTTTGATGGCCTTTGAACGAAAAGATAGATGCACACATGGCCTCGGGCGGGAGGCCTCCCAATATATGTTAGCCATGGATCCATAATTGGATAATCGATAGGAAGAGAGGAGGTGTGAGTGAGCAAGGCAAAGAATTTGCGGAAAGTTTCGTGTTGCGATAGAGACGCGACAAAAAGATGCGTAAGTGTGTGTGCGGGTGTTTGGTTTTTCTTTGCGTGCAAAATGTAAATTAAATCAAAACCGTGCATAGTCCTTGAGAGCATCAGCGAGTGCTACAAGCGGTTCTTTATCTTCGACTATCAAGATCTCTCCATTGTCCAATTGCTGCAGCATAACCATCGGGCTCTTCTTTGCCATCATTTCTGCTTTCAGCTGACGTAGGAACGGCTCAACAAGATCCGCTGCCTTCCCGAGATCCGTATCGACTTTGCGCACGCCAAGGTTCTTGGACTCCTTGACTTTTGAACCTTCTTTGATCTCCATCAGCCTGTCGATGCGGTTGAATGTCATTTCATCGACGGCAAATTGCCTCTCATCTGGTCCATCAAAACAGCAATGAACCAACAGCTCATGTTCCAAAGGCAGAGTTACCCCATCTGGAATGACATGGTAATCGATCTTTGCCCCGGGGAATTCCCGTGCGGAATGTGAAATTGGGATAAATGGCTGCTGCTCATATTTGGCATCGGACGCCCTTGCGGTGAATAGGACCAGATAGTTGAGGCTCCCCGCGTTATATTGGACGGCGCGCTTGTGATCGATTGACCCGAGGAGAGGATTGTGGGTTAGGTCCTCAACTGCGGCCCGCAAGCGACTGTCCATAGTCTCGGGTATGTCCTCGAGATGCCCCAATGCTTCATAGAGATCGGAGAGGAGGACAAGTGTGTTCCCATGCAGCAGAGCGTGCAGACGAAGTTCTTTATTGTATGAACTCTGTTTGGGAGACCCTGTGGCTTTGCTTCGCCCCTTTGAACTCTTTGAACTCTTTCCACTCTTTCCACTAGAGATGCTACTTGATGAAGAAGAGTAGTGCGAGATCCTGAGCCCAACGTCGCCACCCTCTGACACGGCCCTCTGATAGCGAAGGACCTGAGCAAGTGAAGTGTCATCGGCGAGGACGTCCAGATCTTTCATGACGTCCAATTGTCGCCTAAATCGTAAGAGTTCGAGGAGCGCCAAGATGGGGTAGGTGCGTTCAGCAGACGGCAGGCCTGAATTGAGAAAACTCGAGTGTGTGCTCCCGCTGGAGGCGGACGACCCCCCGAGTGTGGGACGGCCTGCCGAGCTGCCACTCGAGTTTGAATGTGAAAGTCGGCGGTGGATAGATGGCGAGACAAGGCGGCCGATGGCTGGTGGTGCACCTGCAGATTGCAAAGCGAGGGAGGATATCATTGGTCGGCATTCCAAACTCAGCGCCATTGCATTGGTGGGCTAAGGAGGGGGGGAGGACTAACCTTGTAAAATTATATCTCGAGTGAGGTTACAGGACACGTTGAAGGTTGTGACGGTCGAGCACTCGGATGGCGGGGGGGCATTCGATGGCTGGACCACCGGGGATGGCTGGAGTCGGGAGATGATCTTCACCGTAGGAGCTGTCTGCACAATACGATAAGCTCATGTATACGAGGGTTGTAGAAGGTACCTACTCGCTCCTTGGAGACGTTGGAGGCAGTAGCAGAGCGTGCAAAACCCATGATAGGAGGGGAAGTGGGGAAGGAAGGCGGATGTTGCTTTGTCTACAAAGGTGGTAAGCTGCTATCTCGTCTGTTTCGACCAAATGAAGCCTTACGGCAAATTCGGTGCGGAGCGTGAGGATTTGATAAGTACCCCAAAATAAACCAAACTGTGTCGATGATGCTGGGAATGATGATATGCAAGTGTCTCGTGGCTTTTGCGAGGCAAATTGGCGAGATGTGGTCCCACTTTCGGGCTGGACTGAATTCACGGGGTGGGGTGCGATCGAGGCGGCTCGACTCTGCAGGGAGGGGCAGATGAGAGAGGGGGGAAAAAAGGGAAGGGCAAGCTAGAATCTCAGGCCGAAAAATTTGCATCTTTTATTAAAAGGATGTTCGGGAATGTTTGGGCCGCGTCGTTGTACTTGTTTCTTTTGCCTTCCGTGTGTGTATGGCAACTGAATGGGATTCGAACATTACAGTATGTATACGCGGGCGGGGCGCGAAGACGGTGGCAGCTTTTGCCTTATGCGCAGCGTGCTAGGCTCCATACGGAGGGCAAAACCCTGGTAGATGTTCGATAGGATTGCCGCGCCGAATCCTGCCATTGGCCGTCCGTGTTGATGACGAATGCCCAAAGTCCTGTGACCGGTGACGATGATGATTGCTGGTCGATGAAAAGTCATTGCATCAGTACAGGCAAAACCAAGTGGAGAGCGGAGACCACGCGAAAACTGCCAGTTTCTTCATGGCCCATCGTCTCACTACAAAGCCTAACTCACCTGGCGAAATCAATTGTATTCGTGGCGATCTTTCATTCGCCATGAATTGATTCCATTTCGGCGCCTTTTAGTTGTAATTGAGGAGCGAAAAAGGGTGCTCGTGATACCAAGAAAAATGAGTGAACTGAGAAATGCGGTCCCAGCATGTTCTGAGCGAGAAGCGTTCGAAGTTTGAGCCATTTGTCAAAGCCGAATGCTAAATCTGTCCATTGCGAGGAGATGTTGCATATCGTCTCTGTTGCCAAGCTGCAGCAGAACGGGTCTTCTTCGTGTGGGCGTCACCCTCCGCCATGGGCCAAGCCTCAAGGAAGCTAGCCAGCAGGGGGTTGTCCGTTCGTTGAAGCCTTCCTCCCAGAGACTGCAGATTTTCGGATGCAGCGGGCGAATGGTTTCGAAAGCGAAATAGATACGGTTTATTTCACCGGCCACGAGCTGCTCGGTAAAAGTTGGAGCACCAGACAAAGACGTAAGCCCTCGCTCGCGTAGATAGCAGAGAGGCGACTCTCGCCAGTACATCTAGCGACTGAGGAAGAACTCATCCGACGAGCATAACGATGTTGAGAATGTTCCTTCTAGAGGCTGACCCCTGCTCTCGTTTTTCCTGCTCCACCCTCTGCCCAGTCGAGCTGCTACGAAGAACGGGAATCGATAGGGGATATAGTAGCTTCCAAGTTGTAAGATATTTCAAAGGAAGGCGCAACACATGGCGTCAAAGAATCGAGGTGGACCAGGCTTGGCATTGCAGAACCGCAAACCTCGTCACCAACAAGAGATCTTTTCCGACAGCCTGCAGATCCGCCAAGGGGACAAGCCATATAAGGAAGAATAAGATTTGACGGTCCATACATACATGTTTCGTACACAAAAAAGAAAACAGTTGTAGCTAAGGAGGAGGCGCCGGTCCAGTTCCTTCTACCACTGCACCCAGTCCAAATGTAAAGGCTCAAGCAGCGACAGAGAAGACAGACAATGGGAGAAAAACGGGGGATATACGGGGGGAGAAGAAGAGATGCTAGAAAAATTACAGGCTCTAAGCCACTCTGACGGTCTGTCTTGAGAGAAATGTATAAAAAGCTGAAAGAACGCCATGAATCACGATTGAGAGAGAAAGGAAAAAAGGAAACACAGAAAGCGAAGTATGAACAGTTCGTAGGGCCCTCGTTCGGCGAGGGTGGTCGAGAGATTCGACTTTGTCAGTCAAACAAGCACGGGAGTCGTTCCCGAAAGGAATGTATGCCCTACAACCCATTCAACCCGCAGAAATGATCTACAGTTCGGTAAGTCATCGTGCAAACCCACGGAGAGAGAGGGGGGACCTGCTCACCTAGTCTTCTATTATTTACAGTCGATGAGGCAATACACATAAATGCTCAAAAGTCGTCTCCATCTTCGTCGTCCCAGACCGCCTTGACACCACCACTCGTCGTTCGACCACCATCTTTGGCCCTTATAGAGCCACTACGATCTGTATGTCTTGACGAGCCTTTGGAATGGTGTGTCGATGAGCTGATGACAGATCCCGGGGGTGACGACGCCAGTTGGATTGGGGCCGTCCTGCCAACAGTCGTCTTCCTCTCTCTCTTGGGTACCAATGACCCTCTCATTCCGGACTTTTCATCGCCACCCCAAGATTCCGAAGAAGGTCCACTGTCGCTACTTGTGGTGCCACTCTCATCCGTCATATTCCCTGGGAATGGATATCCGACCGCATCTCTCTCCAAAGCGGAAGACTGGTGATGGTGATGACGGTACGCATGTGTAGAGGATGGATATGCAGAAGCAGGCGATGACCCGGGAGAAGTCGGATTCGAAGACGTGGCTGAGCGAGAGGAAGTGGAAGAGGATTGTTTTTTATGGTCGGCGGTTCGGGTAGGGAAGGGGACCTGCACCTCAGAAATGGCAATCTGCGAGGAACGGCGAGAATTGAAGGAAGACCTCGAGTTTGCCTCACGTGGGATAGAAACTAGGGTGGTAGGTATAGCGGGTAAGTCTTTGGATGCCATCTTTGATGCGTTGGGCGCTGGATGAGAGCCGGCGCGAGGCGTTGGGGTGAGAGAAGCATCGTCGCCTTTCCCTCTCGTCTTCGTAAAGGAATCAGTCATAGTTGGGGGGATTGCGCCTTCACCTGAGCTACTCTGCTGATGATGGTGATGGCTGCTACTAATCTTGGGATCAGAGGGTGTTGACCCTGGGGGAGAAGGTTTGACTGGGTCAACCCAGTCGTCATCGTCCTCATCCTCGTCGCCATCGTGGTCACGGCTTTCCTTCCGGTCATGGGATTGTGCATTGGTGGATACAGCCGCCTTGCTCATTGCCGCTGCAGCCGCGGCCATCTCAGACTTTGCTCGTCCAACAATCGTATCGTGTCTTGAAGAAACATGTTTTGTAGAAGAGGCGACGGGCGTCTTGGGATTAGGTTCGC